CTGGCGCGGAGGGGAGGGGAGGGGGGGGGAGGGAGGAGGAAGGGGGGAGGGAGGGAGGAGGCAGGATGGGAGCGGAGGGAGGGCAGGAAGGGGAGGAGAAGGAGGAGGAGGAGGAGGAGGAGGAGGAGGAGGAGGAAAAGGAGGAGGAGGAGGAGGAGGAGGAGGAGGAGAAGGGGAGGGCAAGGAAGAGAGGGGGAGAGGGGATTGCGAGGAGGGAGTGGGAATCGGGTTCGGGGGAGGGAGGGAGGAAGAGGGCGAAGGGTTTGAGGAAGAGGCCGGATGGGAGAGGAGAACACGGGATGTGAGAGGGAGGCGAGCGGGATTGGGAAGTGTGGCGGAGGAGGAGGAGGAGGAGGAGGAGGAGGAGGAGGAAGAAAAGGAGGAGGAGGAGGACGAGGAGGAGGAGGAGGAGGACAACGAGGAAGAGGAGGTGGAGGAAGCGGGAAGAGCAAGAGGCCCCGAGCAAACCCAGATTGCATCAACGATGCTTCAACACACCCTCCCGTCCCAAGTCCCTCAGCCATGACTCCCCGCGACAAAGCATCCGCACTCTCACAGCAGGAAGCGCCTCCCTCAAAGACGAGCACCCGATGGGCCTGCCATGCAGGCGAGGAGTCCCGCTCCGAGGAGGAGCTGCATTTTGCTTCCTTGCACAAAGTTGGGCCAGAAGGTGTGCAGCGAGGCGTCCAGCGAGAGCCCGGTATTGAAAGCGCGCCGCCATCGGTCCACCCGCGAAGCTGCTGCACATCAGCGCACGCCCGGTCATTGCATCGGAGGTCTAAGGCGGGAACTCCAGCCTGACGAGGAGGCGCCCTCCATCCGTGAAGCTGCTGCATACGTAGGCGCACGCGTCTACATCCTGACTGCGCACGCTGGACACGTGAGCAGACGAAGGAATGGCATGGAGGACCCCGTCGTGTGTAAAAACGAAGCATAGGCCCCGAGACCGAAGAGGCGACGATTTTTCCCACGTCGGCATTGCGTCGAAGCAACCAGGTCCTTGAAGGCGGGGAAGACAGGCCCGGTCTTGCCAGACCCGCACTATCCCAGACCAGCGGGTTTTCCCGAAACCCGCGGGTCTGCAAAAGCACGCCCCCGCGGCGTTGCCTGGCGGTGCTGCCTCAAATATTAAGTGGCCACTCGCCCCTGACGGCCTGGTCCCAATCGTGGATGGTCGGCCATACGGGATCACAGACGTGCCACTTCTGGTCGCACAGGTCCGATACGTCGCCCCTGGGTGCCTCGTCGATTGGGCCGTCGTCGGTAGCGACGCGCTCCACCTAAGCGTGCAATGCCCGCTTCCTGAAGAGCTCCCAGGTGTGGTGCGTTATCACGCTCATGGCCAAGACCGAGCTGCTTCCCAGGATCGGAGTCATTGTGGCTTCTTCGTTGTCAATGAAGCAGATGAGCATGCCGTCGCTGAGGTTGGTCCCGGTATTCAGGGCTAGCAAAGAACCCGCCAACCTCCACCTCGTCGATGTCGACGCCTTCCTCGCGGCGCCGCCAGACCCTGCGCCGCGCTGCTGGCACTCGGGCTCTTGTCGCGAGCGGCCGCCAACCCTTGTTCCTGGGCTGCCGCCGGTCCGCGGTCGCCGAGCCCATGCCTCCCCGTCCCCAACGACGACGTGGAACGCCGTCCTCCGGCATGAACGTTATTGGTCGCCGCGCGGCCTCCACCAGGATACGTTTCCCAAAAAAGAGTGGTGCGCTGCGGAAGGCCCGCGCGCCGTCGTGCCGCGCTGGCCGTCGCGCTGGCGCTCCGCCAACGGCCGCAAGGCTCCGGCCCCGAAGCGCCCGATTGGAAGCTTCTCGCCCGACCGAGCTGGCCTCGAAGCGCCGCAGCCTCTCCCCCAATACATTTCTCCTTCTGCAGGACCTGGTCGATGGCCTCCACGATGGCCTGGGCCTATGGCGGGCGGAGGGCGCCGCGCCGGTCGCCCTCGCCGACGTAGCGGGGGCCTCCGAGCAGCTTGAGCTGCGGCTGGGGCGCGAGGCTCTCGTGGAGGTCGATCCGCCGGCCCGCGAGGTCGTTGAGCTCCGACAGCGTCCGACGCGCCTGCTGCCCGTGCGGCGCTGGCTCCACGCCCCAAGCGTCGCCCAGGCAGTGCGCCGCGGCTATCGCGAGGGGCGGGCGCGCGATTGCCGCCGTGGCCACTGGGCCCCAGACGTCGTTTAACTGGCTTAGGACCCCGCCAAACGGCTGGCCGTAGACGTCCACGACCACCGCGTCCATGTTATCCGGGCCCCAAATAATCTCCGGCGCGATGTCGGCCTGGTCATGGCCCTTGGGGCACTGGCGGAACGCCATCTCATAATCGGCGCGGTGCCTTTCCAGTGCCCGCTCTCCTCCACGCATCTCCTTCCGCTCGCGAGTCATTGCCCGGGCCGATGCCAAGGCCTCCCGCGTGCATCTCTGCCAGGTCGACCGCGTCATTTCCACCTGGGCGCGTGAGACCGCGCGTTGGCCTGGCCGCCCACCCCCTGGGTTCTCTCAGTTCCCGCGAGGCAACGTGCGGGGCGAGGCGCGCTCGGTCCAGATCGAACTCGCCCAAGCCGCGCAGGGTCGCATGCCCGCGGTCTACCCCCGTCTAAACCTCGGCCTGGGCCAGGGCGCCCAGGGTTGGGCCCCGCGACTCGCAGACGCCCTAGTCAAGCTTAAGTCGAGGCTGCGTGCCCGCGGCGACGTCGCCCACTGGGCGACCGCGGCAATGGCCCTCGAAACCTGGGGCGGGCAGGGGCCCGTCGTCAGACCCCCCCCCAGCATCGGCCGACCCTTGGTCAGCGCGTCCATGTTGCGCATATCCTCTTCGCACTCAATCTCCTGCAGTAGCCCGTTCAGCAGCGGGAGGCGCAAGGGCCCGATGTCGCGCTGGACACGGGGGGCGCAGCCGGGCTACCCAGGTAGCTCGCCGACCGCCCAGTTGCTGGGCCAGCCCGCGAACCCTCTCCACAACGCACTCCTCGAAGCCGATTGTGGCGTTGCCCATGGATCAAATGGTCTCCATCTCGGCGGCAATTGCAGCGGCGCCTCGAGGGGGCGCCCAACCCTGCGCATATCTTCCAGGAGCGCGGAGGGGCCGCCACCACCCGCAATGAGCGGCAGACCGATATGGCCCAGGGGCTGCATGGACCCCCGCGGCCACCGCTCGCGCGTCGCGCCCCCGCGATCGGTTGATCAGCATGTATGTTTCAGGGCCTGCGGGTTGTGCTGAAACCCGGGGGCACGGATTCTCTTGCCTTCTACCGCTCGGCCCCGCGTCTCTGACGGGCCAGACTGCTGCTCTTTTGCCGCCTCGGAACATACCCCGAGAAGGGGGCGCTGCCCCCGGTGGCGTCATTCGCAGCTGGCGGCTCACGCCCTCAGAATCCCTCGTCGGGGGCTGGGTCGAGCGGCGCATGGAAAGCGGGTGGGTCTCTGTGCGGCCCAGGAAGTTGCAGGCGTGGACCTTCTGGGACGCCCTGCGCCGCAGCCCTTGACCTAGATGTAATGCGCGCAAATCTCGCGGCCCTTGCACTTGGTCTGGAGGATGAGGGGCGGCTCGTTGCGTGGCGCGTCGCGTCTCTGCCGTCTGTTGTCGCCCTGGCGGGGCGGCGCCCCGCCGCGGCCCCAGTCGCCGCCCGTCCTCCATCCTTTGTCCGTCGCCTTTGCCGCCCCCCGCGCCGCCCTCGCCATTGCCCCTCTGCTGCTTGCCCTCGTGGCTGTCCGAAGAGAGGTGGGCGCTCTCGGAGCGGCGGTGCGAAATCGCCGCCGTCGAGGTGACGAATTCCCCGCGGCTGTGGGCCAAACCCCACGCGGTGCGCATCTGCAAGTCTGCCTCGATGATCCCCTGCAGCTCGCCCCTCGCGGGGGCCTTCGCGCGCTGTCCGCGGCCCGCTCGTGGCGCCGGAGCAGGCGGGCGGGGCCCGCTTGCGCCCAGTCTGGCCCGCTGCGCGAAGCGCGCGCCACCATGGGCACTAGATGGTGCGCGGTGAACTGCGCGAAGCCGGGATCCCTTGGCCGCCTCGCACGCTGCCCGAATTCGTCGAGATCGATCAGCACCTTCCCAGCGCGCTCGGGGCCCTCCTGCGAGATGCCCCAGACCTCGCCCAGGCGCGGAACGTTGCGCGCCTCCTGAATGAAGAACTTAACTTGACTAGGCGCCCCATCGTCACGTCGTCCACCAAGAAAGAGCTGGGCCACTGAAACTTGAGGCGCTCGCTCGTCGCGGCGCCAAGCCGCGCCCTGTCGTCGCCGCCTGGTCGACATCCTCGCCGCGCGCCTCCGCCTCGGCCCCCGCCTTGGTCAGGGCCAGGGCCCGACGAAACGCAGTCCTGACATGCTGGCATGCCAGGGGGGGAAGGGAAAGGGGGGGGGGGGGGCGGGGGGGGGGGGGGGGGGGAGAGAGGAGGAGGAGAGGAGGAGGAGGAGGGAGGAGGAGGAGGAGGAGGAGGAGGAGGGAGGAGGAGGAGGAGGAGGGGGAGGAGGAGGAGGGGGGGGGAGGGGGGGAGGGGGGGGGGAGGGGAGGGGGAGCGGCGCCCTGCGACGCGTACGCGACGCTCGCCCTGGGGTCTGCCTGGCCTGAGGACGCGCCCGCGACAAGGACGCCCCCGGCGACGGGCCACTGCGCGAAGTCCTCGAGCACCCTGCGCGCCTCGACAAGCGCTCGCAAGCCGGGCTTGAAGGCCCGCGCGGCGTCGACCGAGCGCGCGGACATGGCAGCGCCAGTCGCTGTGGCCAGGCCTCTCTGGGGCCGCGAGGCCAGAAGGCTGGTTGCCGTGGCGGGGGTAGCTGCGGCCTGGGCCCGGGCGCCTTCCCTCCCCGCCTGCGGCCCTCTGCAGCGTGTGATATATCTATATATATATATATATATTATATATATATATATATATATGTACATGTGCACACATATAACAACAACAGAAACGCTGGTTTCGCGACAACCCGCGGTCTGGAAAACAAACGCATGTACTTGCTTCAAACAACGTGCGGACTGCACTTGCAGTCTAGCTCGCGCGCCCTA